AAAGGCTTCTTTTTTCCTAGAAGGATTTTAGCTGTTTGTTAACTCGTTTTTGCAAATTTTACTGTTTTTTCTTAGTTTTAAATTTGGAACAGATGATTAGCGGAAAGAGTGGATATAATTGATGGTAAGTGGGTGGAAATAAAAATTTGAAATTTATTAATAACAAAATATTATATAATTTCTGGAAGCCCTCTAAGATTATAGTATATATGTATAAAAGAACTTTGATTATTTTTTTTTGGATAAAACCTAGTAGTATTTTTGCTATATAAATTATATAATATATTTGTCTTTTAACTATTTTAAAAAATTATTAATAAAATTTTTTCTTGATATGTTAAATGGTAAATTGACAACACTTCTCTCTACATTAAATTTTTTTTTCGGTATTAAGATAACCTTTTTGGCTAAAAGAGACTTTTTATTAAAAATTAATAATACCAGTTATAACAAAAATACAACTAGCTACTGCATTTTTGGTGCCGTCTACACTAGATGCCTGTACCTGTAGCCCAAACTAGGACTACCCAGTGAAAAAGATTTAAAATTTTTTTTGTGTTCTTCAGGAACATAAAATATTAAATTTATGAATTTATTTAGATTTAACCTCTGGTGAAATTCACCGTAATAGTAATTATGTAATATAGTTTATAATACATAGATATGCATTATGCATTATACTACTAATATTAAGATAATCTCTAATATCATTTTACAATTTCACTATCCAAACAAGTGAGAACTGACTTCTTTGAATTCTGTGGATTAAAGATAGAACATGCATTACTAAATATATTTCACAAGTTTAATGTATTGAATTCTTTGGAACTTTATTTAAAGGAAAGAAGCACATTAACAGATGTGCTTTACAAGATTCTCGCACGATCATCTTGACCAAAAGGACAACCAGTTTAGTGTAAGAACTTTAAATTTAAACACTATATTAGAATAGAGTATTCAGACTTATTCCATTTATAGTCTTCATTACTAAAAAGAGAAAACAAATTAGCAAGCACATTTTGAAGAATCACCTTAACTAAAAGAAAAAAACACCGAATATAGTTGTAAGAGCTTTAAATTTAAGCACTTCGTGGGAATAGAGTGTTTAGACTTATTTTATTTTATAGTTTTTCTTTTTATTTTTAACCACTTAAAACAGAATAAGTCTGGATACTTTGCATCTTGAAAGCTTTAATTACTGTATTATCGAATAAATTTTTAACATTAGTACTTTTTTTTTCTTTTATTCCTCTAGTTGATTTATAAGAGCAATATGAATATAAACAATGCTATAAACATAATTAATGATATGTATGATTTCATGAGTGATGCTTCAAGTAATGCCATAAGCGATTCTATAAATGATGCTATGAGCAATACTATGAGCAATACTATGAGCAATACTATGGATGATATTATGTGCAATGCTATGAATAATATTCTGAATGATACTATGAATAATGCTATAAATGATGCTATGAACGATACTATGAATAGTGTTATGAACGGTGCTATGAACGGTGCTACGAATAATGCTATGAACGATGCTAGTGTTTTAAGCCGGCTGAAGCAGCCACGGCTAAGCCGGCTTAGCCAGTTAAGCCAGCCAATATAAAGCTGTCGGC